TCCCAGAGAAAATTAGTTATGCTTGTTGTGCGGGGAAAATAAAGTTTTAATCGACTTTTGGTTGAGTCGAAATTTTTTGTTCCCGGCGCGCGTTTTTGAGTTTTGCGCATCGTTAATCGTACATCCATTAAATTTTCCGCATGGCGTTGGAATGGTAAATGGGAAACGGCGAAACGTGACTCCCGTCTTTTCATTTTGCGCGCCGGGAAGAAGCAGACGATTCGAAAGGTGCGGTGGGAAAAACGTTTGCTCGCTTTTTTTTTGCTTGCCGTACTGATAAAAGTTCATTATATGCGTAACAAGGTTCCACCAATTTCTTTCAGCCACTTTTCACGGGTTTCCCACTTTTCGATAAGTGAACGTAACCGAGTTTATGGGTATGTATATTCAGGTAATCAGGAACCGAATTTTTTCTTAGCCTTGTGGGTTTATTTTTATCAGTGGAAATTGATTAGGAAGGAAAGTCTCACCGAAAAGTATAGGGGTATATTAATTACTTGTTTATTGTCTATTTTACAACCTAAAAGTATTTTTTTATACAAAAAGAAAATATAATAATCATATGCATTTTTCTTGCCGAAAAAAAACACATTAATTAACGTAATGTAATTGTAAATGTAATTGCTTATTTTATTAGATACGCATGAATATGAGAATTGCGTTAATATTTCGACAGGAAATCAGAAATGCATGAGTACATTGATAGCACAAGTGAAACACGTTGTTTTGATCGTGTCTCTCTTTCCTGATGAGAATATAAACATAACAAGAATGTATATATTTTTGATCCCTAGATGCCGCTATGTTCACATTTTACTGATGCACAGCGTGCACGGCGTAGCGAAGATGGTGCCAATCAGCAAAGATATCAGATAGTAAAGTAAATATTGGAAGAATCACAACAAACGCACTAAATAAAAAGAAATAACTGCATTGATTGCATTGAACTGTTTTGACCATGTTTCTCCTTCAAGATTAGAATATATATAAAACAAATATATTTTATAGTCCCGAGATGTCGCTAGGATGCACTATTTGCATTTGATTTCTTACTTCAAGTTTGCGTGTGTGTCAGTGAATTCGCGCTGCGTAGTAAAGATTGTATTTATCAATAGCCGCACAGATAGTACACATTGGTAGAACGTCAACAATCGAACAAAATAAAAGAATATTACTGCGTTGAATAGACTAGAATCTAGAGAAATTTTTAAATAATTCTGTGATTTTCTTATTATAAAATTTATAATTATATTTCAATATAAAGTTATGTATGTTTTATCACTAGTTAATTAGTAAAAAATGAAATACATAGAAGAAATAGAGGAAAACGAATAAAAATATAAGTATGATAAGCATGCTTCTTCCCGAAAAACAAAACAATAAGTAGCAACAAATGTAATTGCGTATTTCATGCGCATGAATATTCGACAGGTAATCGTAAGTACACGGGTCTAGTGATACAAAGAGAGAAACATGTTGTTTTGATCGTGTTTCTTCTTCATGATTAGATTATAAACAAAACAAATACATTTTATGATACCTAGATGCCGCTAGAATGCACTATTTGCATTAAAATAAATCTGGTGATTTCTCTGACGATGCCCTCACCGTTAAAACAATTGTAGATTCTTTAAGCAAATTCAGTGCAAAGAGACGACTAAAAACGCTCTCAGTGAAAATAAATTTATACCTAAGTTAAAAATGTTGTACAACATTATCACCACAACCCAAGTATTCTCTAATATATATTAATTTATCTTCTACCAACTCTCATCCCCTGTTTTACACCCTTAGAATTAAAATTTTAAAACATAAAGTAGCCTATTTATTATTTTAACAAATAATCTATTATATTACTAAGTTTAATCAAAATAGCTTCAATAGTTTTTATGTAAATGAGTAACAAACATACAAGTTAATTAAAATATATTATTTTTCCAATTTTTTGCATTTAAACTACCCTAATATATATTAATATAATTATTTATGCATATTTGATGTTTCGATATCAATTTGTTAAACAAATTGCACTAGTAAACCACTTCCACCATCCGTAATTAGTTATTTGTGATTTTCATTCGCATTTAAACACGCACCAACAAGAATCCACCCGTAGATATTTACTATGTGTAAACATTTGTAACGCACGCAGCGCAAACACACCTGCACGCGGCAATTACTCTCGCGCCGTTTATTATTCACGCGCATTTATGAAATTAACATAATGCGCGTGTGTCTAATTAAGCGCATTAATTATTGCGCTTAATTTTGCGCCCACCACGGTGATTAACATATATATTGTGAATTTGAGCCCACTTGGTCATTGTGCGCATTGAACAACGTCGCAGGGCGTCCGCATCGGGTTAAACAATTTCCCACTGCGTGGCATTTGTGCAGCAGGTGAGAGAGGATTCAGAGAACTGATCGAAATTCGATTTCGGGCGTGAGCGTTAATAATGCGCCGAATGTGGACTAAATATTAATGTTAATAAGCTAATAACACCGGAAACACACGTATTATCGCATGTTTATCTGTGCAACACTGGGATTATTGCGCTATTCATTTTGGAATTAGTGTAATAACAATCACAGTTAGATATTAATTGATTAAACGTCTTTTGTGGTGTTCTAAAGTTAATCAAATTACGAGTACTTGTTTTTTTTTTGGTGGAGAAAAAAAGTTTATCGTGGTTTGCTTTAAACTTGGCTGGCTTTTTACTCAGTTACTGCAAGTTGGCTTCAAGCAGTTGGCAGTTTTCTTTGCAATAACACGACGCCCGACAAAAAGACCGTGGAAACGCTCGCGCGCAAGAAAGAAAATTATAGCCGCGAGCGATACGCGTCTGCAGAATGCACATGCACGTCGGGGAAGTCCTTTGAAACTTTAGAAACTAAACAAGCCTCGCTTGGAAATCTAACAAATCAAACGAATTCCAACATCTTAGATTCTACAAATTGAAATGTTTTCCACAAATCAAGCAGTTTCCACAAAGTTTCCTACCATTAAAAACATTTTATTTATATTTTACTCAAATATTAATAAAAACTATATTTTTACACTAAAAATAAATAAATAAATTTATTGTTTATAAAAATCAACAAAAAAAATTAAAATCGCATGAAAACTTTTCGAGTTATTCTAGTTTAAAAAAATTTATTACTGCGCATGCGCGCGTTTGAATTTATTTACATTTCTATATATGATATGCAACCCAACACACACATATGACACAATACTCACGCACCGCAAGCATAAACTTCCACCGCGCCTACAGAATTTAATTAAATTAATAAAACGAAATAAAACCAGCAATAAAATTAAATTAAACGCAGCGATATCAAATTTGCATTCGCATCCCATTGCGACAGACCACCGTGCAGCATGTTGAACTAATACAATACGAGTTTAAACAAAATGGATGTCAACAAAAAACCGACCGCACACACAAAGTCCCATGACACTTTATTGCGAATCCATTTGCATTCACTTGTTCCACGGCGTTTCTTTGTTTGCTGCGCCGCAACGATCGATAATTTAAACTGCACTGATTAAACAAAACTAACAACTACTATAGTCCAGCGAGCAGTGCGTGTTATTTGTTGAATTATTGTTGTAGTATTTTACGACGTACAATCAAGTACAACACAAAGCTGGGGATTGTTTTGTGATGGCCGGACATGATTAATGATAGCGCGTAAAAATTGGGCTTTTAAATTGTTTTCCGTCGAGATACGTGTTTTGTTTTATTTTTGCTTTTAACTAAATACTTTAGATGGCGGTTCTAAGAGATATACAGTGAAATGAAAGCAGATTGGAAGCAGATTGGCTTGTGCTCGTAAAAGCGCTGAATAAATGCGTCAATTTCTCAATCATTGTTTGGTTTGGCGTTTTATTTATTGCCAGTCGCGCTCCATTCGGATGCAATCGAGTTGAACGCAGCGTTGAGGTTGAAAAGAGACTGGGGAGATGAATGCAGACTGCGTTTCTTACAAAAATCAATAAAATTATGTTTATATTTCAATAAAAAATTATTTTTTCATTAAAAAAAGTTATAAATACTATTTTACGTGAATATCAACTTTCATCCCTTATTTCACACCATAAAAGTAATAATTTTTAGAAAAAAATTAGCCTATATTATTTTCCAAGGTCATAGTTATCCTCACACCAAAATTTATAAAAATTACTTGAGTTGTTTTTGAGTAATCGCGTAACAAACATACAAAAACACCCAAATTACCATTTTTAACACAATATTAACAAGAAATATTATACTTTCAGATGAATGACAAATGAAATTATATTTATATTAAATGCTAATGCGATTTTAAATGTTGCCATCATCGATTATCGACGCCCAACACGAGATTTGCGCAAAAACACAACTGAAGCACGTTCGAAATAAAATTTACGGCGTCGAATAAACGCGCGCGCGCGGACATATAACATAAAATACGAATTTATCTTGCGTTTTCATCGCTGTACGTATTTTTTTCGGCGTTTTTGTTTTGTTTGTTTGCACGTGCCAAACAAACACGCACAGCACGTATATTTATATTTTAATTTTAATCGCCGCGCGTGGATTTTAACTCATTTATTCCCGGCGTTCGGAGAGTGCTCTCGTTTAGCGAGATAGTATTTCCGTGCGGGATTTTCAGTATTTAAAGCAAAACACCACGCATTAATACCCCGATATCCAGTGTACAACCCTTGCGTGGTGATGGAGTTGGGGGTGCGGCAATTGCCGATTCTATTTTCCACTTTTCCGCCGGCATGCGCGTCATACCGCATGAAATGATGAAATGCATCAGTGGTCTGCTCCCGGGGACGGACTATTATGAAAGATAAATCGCATTAATCAAGCACTTTTAATTAGATGGATTCCCAACGGGTGCGTTAGCCCTGATTAGAATTAACTACACCGAACGTGACCAATCATTCCGCTTTTATTTCAGTCGTAATATGTGACCTGAAAACACAACACAAAAACAAAACTTACTTGTGCTGACACCTGTCCGCGTTTCAGACGAGGTAAATCCGTGTGACTCCATGCGCTGTTCGACCACGGCGCCACCTCGCGGAGATTCCCATCGAATTTGAAGTCTTTGAGTCGATTGTGGAGGAATTTGCGAATATTCCACGGCAGATCGTTGTGGCCGTCGATGAGAGGCACTTCTTGCAGTAAACGAGCTGCGATCTCGAGGCGTTCGTCCAGGGAAGCTCCGGCGTTTATTTTCAAAGCGATCGGAACGCCAACACCGGCCGCAGCGGCGAATAGCAGTACTGTTACTATGATATACCAATGGCGGGGTGATAAATCAACTCCTGCAACAAAATTTATAATATTAAGAGTGCTGTCCAAGTATTAGATGGATGAGAAAATTGGTAACATGTAAGGAATGACCAGCATGACCATCAAAAAATAAATTGTGCGGAAATTGTGATGTAAATAAATATCATACATCATTCCAGCGGTGACTGGAATACAAATCTTAACAAAACTCATTTTCGTTATGTGTGGGATTAGGTACATGTACAAGATGGCGCTGATTTTATATTATAGTCCGTCATACGTGATTGAATCAGTTAGGTTATGTAGCGATAGAATGAATTCCTCCTCCGCAATCAATTCATATGCGTGAGGCGTCGCGGAACTCCTCTTATTGTTCTCGCGCCCTGAACGAATGTAGAAAATGTAGAAATCCAGGAATAGAATAGCGCCACTTCACGACACGCGCACGAGTTCGGAATGCGGAAATAGCCGCAGCGAACCGCAGTCCGGGGCGGCGGCGCGCGCAAAAATGGAAAACAGGCGTCGAATTATCTCTCCGATGGAAGGCAGAAAACTTCGTTTCCGGTTCGGCGGCGCGTTGGTTTTATCGGCGGAGCGCGGTATAAACTTTATTTCGGCATAAACACGCGAAACATTTCGAATGTCTTGTTTCCAAGTTGCGCGCCATCCAGAGTTGCATACTCGAAACGAAATTTGCGCGGAAACACATGAAATTGCATAAAAACTTGGGTGGAAAACAACTCCGAATGCTAGGAAATATTTGTTTCGGAATAAACTTGAATAATCTAGATTCGCAGAACTTCACGGCTCAAGCTGCTCTGCATAAGCAAACAGTGAATTATACAGGGTATATCGAAATTGACTATAATTTATGAATGCTTAGATATACATGTGCTTGTTGTGTGAGTGTTGGAGTGGGAGTGGGGGTAAGGAAGTGCCTTTTGCATCACTAGCATCGAGTGAGCGGTAAATAAAGCCAGTGCTCCAGAGTGCATCTTGCAGGTCGTCATTTTATTGGCTTTAAATTCGGTGCGCTCGTAAAAACGCTTTATTGCCTTCATACTACGCTCACATCTTACATTTCGCTTTCGAGATAAGTAACCCAAGCACTTGGAGCTTTAGCTGCTGACATCCGGGGGGATAAATAGCAAAATTCATGTCATGTCAAATGTTAAAGTTAACTAATACGCAAATATTATTTAAATATACATATTTTGATGATTCTAACATAAAATAAAATGGATAAGTAAGTTTTGTCTAAAATTTTTGGGTCGTAATTAAGAAACATTCGAATATTGACTAAATATTTGTATATTAAATATCAAGTGCGCTAAATGGCACTTTAATCACATAAATAGGTGGAAATTTCACCCCGTGACTAAAGCCCGTGGCTAAAGTACTTTAGTCACGGTTTTGGCTACCAGTGAGTAAACTACAACTTTTTATGTCTCAAAACCGTGAAAAAAGTGGAAGTAGAAAAAAAAAACAAATTTGTTTTTTATCACTGTTAAATGGACCCTAAAAATATCTTCCAAAGTAAAATTTTGTTATCAGACCATTTTTTCATAAAATAATCAAAATTTTATTAATTTATTATTCATTTAATGTACCTACATGCAAAATAATAAAATCACCTCCCAATGTTTTTGCTTTTTGCGTTGTTTCAGGTTCAATACCATTAAATCAACGATGATTGCTTCATTCTGAACCTTCCCGCTGGTGTTTACCCATCCCTTGGACCAGTTATGGTAACTTATGTCTTTACTTTCGCTCTAGCACGTTTCTATTAGCCGAGCACCAGCTAAAAAGACACCGAAAACAAAAGGAAAAGAATATCCATGAAGATATTGCCCCACTACGCCGTGGGGAGCATGAATCCTGCGTGCCAAATCCGAACGCATTCCTGGATCGTCGAAATTAAATCAAAGATGCCCCTGAGCTTTAATAACCTCCCTCGCATTGTATGTGCGTGTGTATGTCCAGACGGCTAACGGATGAGATCCTCGCCGGATTCGGACAAGATTCGAACCAACTGATTTCCGCCCCAGTCTTTTTTATTTTCCACTTGGACTACTTTCATTTTCCCTTCCGAAAACTTTCTCCTTTAAGCCATCTTGGAAAGCAAATTCAATTGTATCGGATTATGAGATTTTCAAAGTGAAACAAAAAATTTAATTGAAAAAATTTCCTGCAATGTGTGTGATAATCTAGTTGTAAGGTAATGCACGTGTGATTAGTTTGTTTGCCTTCTGGCGCGATCCACGTTTGACATCCTGTTTGTGCCGGCTTCCGTTTGAAGTGACGATGATTACATATATCACCCTCATTGCTCACATTGCGCGACGTGACGTTGCGCAATATTTTGAGGTATGCGAAATATCCGGGGATATGATGAGGATATTCATAAATAAACCCAACGACATAGCAAATGGCTCGTTGGGCGCATTCGCATTTGTTGCGATCGCGAGTATTAGTCATCTATAATTTCGCAGAAGGCTCTCTCACGTGCAATCCATCTTTGTTAATGCGCGTGCATGTCTAATATGTCTGAATTCGTCTGTGCTGCTGGGGCGCGAGTGACTGTGCCGCGCACCCACAAACCGGAAACGTAATTAATTACGCTTTGCGTCGAAGCCCGCGCGCGTACACACGTCGAACACATCTATAGTTATAACTGCAATAAGTGTAAACGCGCGAGTGAGACAAACATGAATTTATGTTCGGGATTAATTAGGAAATTGTGTTGAAAATCAACTAAATAAACATCTTGATTGGCATATTTTGATGCGACATGTCTTTAAATTTAAGCTTCATGAAATATTTAACTAGAGGTGGAGAATCTGTTTTTATTAAAACATTTCCATGTCTATATAAACAAGATACAAGGATAATTGTAAGTTATGATGTACCGCGGGGGTGGTCGTGTGCACGAACGCGCAACACGCGTGTTAATTACGCACGTTTCTGGGGCCGTCAGGGGGTGGGTTACGTTCGGAAGTAACTTATGCAAGGGGGGTTTTAGTCGTGTACGCATGGGGCGCGCAAATACCCAATTTCCAAAGGGTGTCGAGGCGAAGCCAACGCAGAAGCGTTAATTAGCTCATAATTTCTCATTTCGTTACTTGAAACTTTCGCACGTTTAATACGCATTCTAATTACGCTTATACGTAACATAAATATAAATATTTGGTTTATTTTTATTTTTTATATTAAGTTTTTCATCACTTCTACCTTAAAACCGGTTTTTTCACGATTTTGAGACATAAAAAGTGATAATTTACTCACAGATGGCCAAAATCGTGATTAAAGTACTTTAGTCACGGACTTTAGTCACTACTCGTGGTTAAAATGCCCTTTAGCGCACTTGATGCGTAATATACTCTTTTTGACCTTTTTTTCCCAGAATTAATATTTTTTATTAAAAATAAATTAATGTTTAATATGTTAACTTTCCCAAAAATAATAAATATTCCAATATTATGAATAAATTCCACCCCTACGACTCCAATAATATTTTTTTTATTTCGAACATAAAATTTAATTTTGTTTACCTCCTGCGTGATGTGTAACAAGAAACGTCTTATCTAAACGCGATAAAACTCTTGTTCACAAAGCAATAACACACTTCAACATGGCGCGAGAATGTTGTGGCTTGCTTTGGCAGCTCGTCATCTCGTGGCGCTGCTAATAAAATTGCGATTATCATGCTCGTCTCTTTTCCTCCCGCCAGCCTTACGTCGACTTATCTATTGACAGCCATTAAAGAGCCTTCGACGACAAGAGTGCTCCGTCGAGCGCACATCCCTGCCGTGTTGTGAACGAACATGTTTATTCATCGTTCATCGCTGCGCCGGCATTCGTACATCATTTATCTTGAAAATTTACATGAATAGCTAGATAGGCAACCGAGTGTGCGCGCAAAGTGAAGTGAAGTGTGTGGTGAGTCGCGCGTATAGGCGGGGCGAGTCAAACAACGACATTCATCAAACGACATTAAGCGCATCATGTCAGGCCATCGGCGATAGCGTAGGTTCACCACAAAGGAGAACACCGACGAGTTCGACAATTCAACAATAGGCATGTCGATAATAGAGTACACCGCTGATAAGATAAGTCTACGAGTGCAAGTACTGTTCAGGTGTTTGTTATTATAGGTTAATCCTGGAATAAATGATGATAGATTACAAAACAGATGCGAAGTGTATAGTGGGTTGCCTATAGTTGTGTATATATGTTGAAGAAGTTGCCTACGTATTATTTATTACAATGTTTTTATGTGTGCACGTGGTATCATCAGCGGAAATAGTCAGTGCCTTTGTGACCGTCATTGTCATAGTGACATTATCAGTAACTATAACTTTTATGTTCACGAGAACACACTGACATAGTGTTTTCGAGCTCTTTCGCGGGATAAACAAATAAAGGAATAAAGGATGAGCATAATGTCGGCACAAAGCGGGACCTTCTTTACGAGGCGCCGAGTTCTGTTTCTGTTCATTTATTCAGCCGGCACCGACGCTTTTGTTCCGTTTGGTTTTGTCGCGCGTTGTCCTTTCGCAGCTTCGGGCCCGGGAGCTTTATTTCTAACTGGCGCGCAACAAATGTATGTACACACTGTGCGACATTATGCGAGAGTGTCTTGCGAGTTACGAGCGATTGCGTTAGTGTTTGCTATTATGCAGGACCCAGGGAGCAACAAATGCTCGTCTCGGGCGCGTAACGAGCGCATTCCGTGCGGAAGAATGAGTGAAAGTGATGTGTCGCGCCACGTGGCACATCCAGCATCCGGGACGCCTTGGATTATGACACTTCCCACACGTACCGGCGGATGTTTCTATATCTGATGAATGCAAGGCGTCAAGGACGGAAGAAAGCGAGTAAAAATGCATTTTTGTCATGGACGACCTGCGGAAGACAAGATAAAACGTTTCGTACCGGAAAACACGGAAAACAAACTTAGGAAAATGTGGGGAAAGATAAACTGTGCACATTGCCGACACTCGGATTGTCCCACACTGAGGCGACAAACAAC